TCTGTTTCCGTGAGACAGCTCTTACCGCCCTCAGCACTAAGCACTTCAGAAGAAGGAGCACGAAATCTGCATTAGGCAGATAGCAGATAATCCCCCCTCAGAGCAGATCTCTTCTCAGTTCTCGGTACAACTGCTGAAAAACCCTGAACTGTGGAGTTTAAACATGGCAGGGTCAAATCAAATTGTTTTCAAGTAGCTCACAGGTTGAAAACAAATCAAAATTCTTACAGAATAAAAAACATGAAAATGAAAAAACATTTAATGAGATTGGTTGGGGGGAGGTGGGGGGGGGAATACATTTTTGGTCCACAAAATCTACTGCTGAATTCTTTGTTGCACCAAAATGAGACTACAAAAGACGACTGGAATTTTTTTCCTTTAGTGTTAATATTTTTTGGTGCACTGTATTAAGTCTAAACATACCAAAGTTGACTGAAACGTTAAAATTATAATCTAAACCACCGTAGCTACAAAGTGTGGCATGCCAAGCACAGAAATCCAACTGGCCAACCCATTCAAAAGCAAAAAGATTTTTTCCTCTCACTGAGATGCAATCAAAATCCAGCAAGACAACTAATTGTAACTTAATCTTGTCAACTATGTCTGCCAAAACAATTTTGGGTATGATTGGCAAATGAGCAAAGGGAATAACAACAGGGTATTTCTACTACCCTGTGGGTTTTAAAACTGATTCAGTGGCTTTAAATAAAGAAGCAGGGCTACAATTGCTAACTTTGTTGCACTAATAATGCTCAAATAATGTTGCACTAATAAGGACATCTGGAAACAGTTGCTATCAAACAGCATTTGATTTGTGTTTCCTTCATGACTGCAATGAACCACTAACACAGGGGCACCGGTCCTTGCAGTGCAGATGCCAAGTGCTGGACACTGAAAGGGAAGTTGGGAAGAGATAGTAACGGATAAAACTGGCAAAAGCATCTATGCATAAATAATAATACTGATTCATGGCCATCACATTATTTAACAAGAGATAGTTTTGTCCTTATTAGCCTTATTATCTTTTCATATTAGACCTGATAAAAATAAACCTAACAGAAGTGCAGAAAAAAAGGCATTACACTAGCTTCCAAAAAGAAGTGAAGCACATGTAAAAACAAGGTTCTTTGTGTCACTGTACTCCATTTGGTTAAAATGCGGATTGATCTCACCCTTTAAATCTAAGCCAAGCCTTACTTGGTACTTACAGAAAGCTTACCTAGGGTAAAACAAAGATTTGTGGGATTCAAGGTCTTTTTCAGGTATTACGCCTTAGGAAAACTAACCTTGTCCTTAGCATTTAATTCAAATTCTAAGGCCAAAATAAGGGACCACAATGGATGAACTGGGGGCCATTTTTCAGCTGAACATTTTGCATTTGTTATGAAACTTTTTGTGTGAGTCTTTCCAAGTTTTTAGCAGCAAAAATTGGGTTTTTGAGGGAAAGTGGAAGAATCAAAAAAAACACCAACCTGTTTCAAATGAAAGGTCTGGGGTTTTTCTTTCAAAAGGAAAATTCGCACAATCCTATGCAAAAATCTACAGCTTATGACTTGAACTCCTTTCTCCGAGCACTCTACACCCAGACAGGATAGTCCCTCTTAGGCGGAATCTACAGCAGGGATAAGTTCAAGGAAGGTTAAATAGACATAAAAAGGAAAAATATGAGTGTCTAACGGCCATACTGAGCAGATACAGTGCCCAAAGCCTAGGATAAAAGACGCCTGTTTTCCTTGGCATTGCTCTAATCCTCAGACAATGCTTCCTCTCTCAACTCAATAACAGACAGATCATATCACTGAGCCTCTCCCTCTGGTGCATCAGCTCAGATGTTTCAGAAGACCTCAGGCACACTCTATTCATTGCTGTTTATGTCTAGTCTTTATATGTGGGAGATCGATGACTTGGTTTTCTGGAATCTGCTGTCCAGAATTTAATTTTTGAGCTATCTACAGCAATGTCAACCATAAGATCATTTGGCTAGTGCTTGGATACCCAATTACTACAGCAAGAAACAAAGTATACTGGCCAATCATAGCTACACTACTGATACTTGCAAAGATCTATACTAGTGCATCCCACCCCAAAACCAGTTTTATTAGCAGAAGCAGTATAATTGGTCTACCCGCACCACTATCAGGGTTTTGCCAACACAGACAAGTTGCCGAGGAAGCACATGTCACATGCAGTGGATGTAGCAAACGTGGCAGAAGTCTAGAGGGTGGTAGAAGACTGCGTTTGCTATAGTCTTATGACGTTAAGATTAAAGTGCAGTTTTCTCTGCTGAGTCAGGGGACTATTCATCATTTGTACAAGCACAAACACATACTCCCACACGATGTATACAAATCAGTGAGTCAAAAATTGTATCAGCAAAAGCAGCAACCGTTCTTATGGCTTGCGGGGTTTGCTGTGTTCAAACCTCTCAGCAAACACTTTGTGTTCTTGATAAACAATGATAAACAGCAGCTGCTCTTTATCTACTTCTTAATGCTCATCCTCTACCAAAGATGGATCGGTACTGAAATACCTGAGTGTGGACCTTGGCATTTTTCCAGACCCTGCATGGATTCAGTGCAGTTCCTCCAGACTTTGGCTTCCTGCTCTCCTGCCTCTTACGCAAGTATTGGCACTGTTTCAGCACAGCCTGGCCCGAGGCACAGTCCTGAGCATGACGCTGGATAACTTGTGCCATCCAGAGAAGTATTAAAAGGAGCGACAATTTCCTTCTCTCTCTAATGAAAACAAAAATTTAATTGCTGAACCATCTACAGCACTGCCCACCCTTTTTACTTTGTAACACCTATTAGAGCACATCTGTTATGTTTTCTCCTCCTTTAACATTGCCCATCCTTTTCTGTTTTGCCTACTCTGATCTTACTTCTGTATTTTTTTCTCCTCTCAAAATCCAGTTCAAGATGGAAAGCTATAGAGGATCACACAGGCAGTTATGCCTACCAGTGCAATTTTGTTATTGCGCTAATAAAAGAAACAGAAACTATGCATTTCAGAGGGGTTAGTCCTCACCCCTAATACTCATGGACTGCACTTAACAACTGCACCACTCCTATGCAGGTTGGACCTGTATCAGTCTACCTGTCACCACCTACCTAAAGAAAGTCCTTCTTTATCTAGGGGTAAAACTGAGAACTGAGCAAGCAGCTGTACCACAGAGCAGGAAGGCCCAGAAAGGGCTGCTCTGCCCGTAACCAAGCAAATCCCCTTAGCGGCGCTGGCGACGAGCCGCAGGTTTCAGACAAGGCATCGGACACCATATCCCGGCCGTCGCGCTGCTCACAAAGGGAGAAACAGGCTGCAGGAACCAGAAATCTCCTGCAGGAGACCCCAAGTCTCATGAAGGCCTGGAAAGGCGTCCGCCGTACTACCTAAACTACGGACACAGAGGTACCCACGGGCAAAGGTAAAAAAAGGCCCTTCTGGGCAGCGACGCAGGAGGAGAAGGGATCCGTGCCGGGGGCTGCAGAGCAGGGTGGGCCGGGCCGGGCCGAGGGGCCGCGGCAGCTTTACGCGTGCAGCTCGCTCTGCTGCTTTACCACGACCAAAGAGTTTCGAAATCGAACGACTCTACCTCACCCCTCAGCTGCCTTTGCTGGAATGTGAACCAGCTCAAGCATCTGCAAGATCCAGCGCTGCACTGGGAAACGGGGGTTCAAAAGACAGAGGTCTCACTGCACAAATCTGTTAATCATAAGCAGAAAAGCCAGCCGCGTAACAGCTATATTCCTCATCAGTCATCTCAGAGGTGACTGACAACTCGGCGGAGCCCGTGCCCCAGAGCCTTCTGTTCACGCCACAGCATTATCACAAAAGTAATACTAACAGAAATCGGCTGGGCTGATAATAGACCTGGATCTTATTCCACGCCAATAAAGAGATCTAAGAAGAAAAGGATAAACTTTAAAAGCAACTAAAGCTAAGACAAGTAATATAGCATGCTTTGTTAGTCCTATATTGAATTTTATAATCTGAAGTTTATCCCTTTTTCTCATAAAATGAAAAATAGGTGCCTGTTAATAGCCTAAAATCTCACAAGTTTCATCACCCAGAAGTACCGCTCTGTTCCCTGACAAATTTGCTATCAGTGTTTACAAGATGCTATCTTCGCCTGCACACAGAGAATCAGATCTCCAGGTATGAGCTCGCACTTGTTCTCCAGCAGCATGATATCCCCCAGACCAGGTAGCCCTGTCGGCAATGAGTAAAACTGCAGAGCATACCGAGAACCAATCTGCACGGTATTTTCACGTGAACTCTCCCAGCACTGAAACGAGGTTGGCCGACAAAGGAAGAAGGCAAATCCACGGGCAAAGAGAGCAGCTGTGATCTGTAACATACAATTAGTTCAAGAGGCACTTGAAAGACTTTTCATTTACCTTCAGTTTTAACTTTGGATCATTTAGGGATGCTAAAAGAGACCAGAGTGTATAATGAGCCTCATGTCAAAATTCAACAGCTGCTTAAAATGTTAAAAAAAGAAAGAAAGAAAAAAACACGCAACCACTGCATCTCTGTTAGGAGAGCAGACAAACGTTTCTAGAGTACCGCCTTCCAGAAGGCTACTGTCTCCCGCACGCCCAGCCTTGCTAGCGTGGTAGCCCGCTGCGCCAAGGGTGGGTTCGTGCCCGCTGCCGCTACCAACCTCCCCGCCAGCTCCGCGGTGTTCGAGCCCCTCTCCCACCATCCTCAAAGACGGATTAACGGTATGAGCAGGGGCAGCTTCACTTGACGACTGTCCCCTTCTTGTAACTCTCCTTCCACCACCTCCCTAGATATTTGTACCAAAGGACTCCAATACCAACACATCTGAGGCAACTGAGTTATAGATCAAATATAATTCCTGCTCTCAGCTTGGCTCACTTATTTCACTTTCATCTCCATGCACTGGCGTTGAGCCCACAAGCGCGCTGTGCGCTTCAAGGACACGGTGGGGTCGTGAGTACTGCAAGAAAACGGCAAGCGCAGGTGAGCGTTCTCCCTACCTGAGCAGTCCCTGTCTCTGCCGGAGCGGCTCACGAGGACCTTCGCTGGAGACACCAGAAGAACGAGCCAAGCCTGTACAGGAGGCAACGATTCATAATCAGCCATGAAAAGTACAGCCTGTATTGGCAAGAAAAGGCAATGAACGAATTTAAGAGATGTAATATTTTTCAGCTAACATGAAATACATCTGTATAAACTGAATTCACCTTTGCAAAGGTGGTTACCATAACTGTACAGCTTAAAGACAGAGCCACGATCAAAATTCAAAGCCAGCAGCTATGAACATAGCAGCTATGATTTAAGTAAAATTTAATGAAAAACATGGGCCTCGGGCTAAACAGAGGAACCTTTTATCATTCAAAATAAAAGGAATTTTAGGAGTTAAAACAATGCAAGATAGAGCTTTTATGGTTATTGTTTTAGATACAGCAGATGAAAAAGAAATGCAAGATCAGCATTAGACAAATGGTAAGAGGAGAGGAAGAAAGCTGCACTAGAAAAAAAGCGACTGCTTTTTCAGATCAGACCAAAAGGCAAAAACAGCTTTGGGTGAAGTGTTGCATGAAAAGGTGCAGGGGAGCAGTCTTTCATCTGTCCTTTGCAAGTAAAAAGACTGCACTCAAAAGAGTTGACTGCATTAGCAATTTTTTTCCCCCAAATTAAGCAACCTGCAAAAACCCAGAATTTTTGCTTAGTTAATGGGGCTAATGAGAAAGGAAACACGAGAAGTGCCAGAGAAAAACAACAACAAAGCAGGCAATTCAAGGATTCAAAGGTTCAAAAGACAAATATTGATACTATACATTGACACGAATGAATTAACATGAGATTGCATTGACTTTTTTGCTGCCTTACATATGATTCTCACCCCTTTGTCCATACACTGGTGTTTGTAGCCTTGACTGTACACACAGGGTCTGTTATCTCTTACACTATGTACGCTCTTTACACTATATACTCACGTTAACTTCAACAGAACAATCGTCTCCACAGACGTAATATTCAGGTAATAAAGACGGCAATTCAGAGTCCTGGAGCCATGATGACTTCATTACCTTATGTAGTAAGTTTAGGACTGGTGTAATTCTTTCCAGGATTGGGCCCCAATACTGAAATCTCTTCAGGAGAGAGAGAGTTTCTTCCTGAGTTTTTATACCAGGGCCTCAATCTTTATTGCAGCTTTTATGAGAAACTATAATTCAAAACCCAACTTCCCTAGATTTGCTGTGTTTTCTTTCTTCTTTCCCCTTTGCATTTCACTTCATGTGCCCTGCACAATCTACAGCTAATACGAAAGACTGTATTCGCCAAAATAAAGCAAAACAAACACACACACAGGCCCCCTCGTCTGCAGTCAATACCCCTTCTGCCTGTGAAACCACTGATCCAACGGTATTTTTTCTCGTCCATCCCTCCCGATTTATTCTTGCAAAAAAAAAGATAACCAGTCGGAAGAGTTATCGCCTTGTCTCCTTGTAGAAATGCATTGCCACCGGAGCCACAATTCATACTGTGATTTTCAAGGCCAGCAGTGGAATATCTACGAAACTAAGAAGTAGGAGCATTTCTTTTCACGCTGAAACAAAAAAATACAATCAAAAACAACAAAAACATTATGTGTTTCCTGCTGAAATGTGTTTTTCCTCTACTGATGTTCCAAAGGAAATTGCAGTCCATGCTGTTCATGCTTGCATAATGAAATAAATCAGAGAACAATTACTCTTCACTATTATTCATCTACACAATCGACATCTTGCATGATTCTTTGGTCCTTACAGACCAACATGTTTTAGCAATTAGCAACGTGCCATGTGTCAAACATTGGTTTCAAGCTGAAATATCTAAGCCAAAACGAATGGAAAATGTTGCACCTTCCTTGTAGTTCCACACAGCTGTTACGTTGCAAAGGCCAAGGCTGCTGGCGTCAGTTATGTTAACGGATTGGTTAAATCCTCTTTTAGACTCCATTGAAGGAACAAGTACATTCATATGTAGTATAGATATGGCTACAAATGTTTTAGAGATGCCACCTTTTCGAGATATTTAGTTGCCTAAAAATGCAGGTATGATCTAGAACCATTTTCAAAAGCCTCTTTAAAATTCGAGTTTGGACTGCCAAAAACGAGCTAGCTCACCTGGTCGCAGAAAAACTGATCTAAACTTTAAGAGGACTATTGTTCCAGGGAAGAAATTCACATGCAGGTCAACAGAAACAAGGCACATCTCAGTGGCAAATTCAATTTTTTTTCAGCTAGATATAAAAGGAAAAATTGTAGAATTTGATTTGCAAAACTAAACAAAATGACTGTCAGATAACGAAGGTATTTGCTTTTCAAAATTAATAAAAAAACCCTCAAATATAAAATAAGGCGTTTCAGGTCTGGTCAAACAGGTTTTTCTGATTGTCAGTCTGTGAATTAAAGATTTAACCGATCACAAAGCCAATCCACTGCTTGCAAGCAAAAAGGCCAGAAAGCCTATTTGTTGCTTTGGTGTTTCAAGGAGAAGGCCTAAAGATGTAGCTGAGCCTGAGATCCACTGATGAAACAAAGTGAGGACTTTCAGTGTCTATGGTTAACTCCAGTGACAACCTGGGTTACCTGAAGAAGAAAAACTTCTCGATGATTTTTTTCCTTCTGTGATGAGAAATGAATAAAAAGAGCGTGTACTGTCTGTGGACAGAAACTTCATTTTATCTTGTTACTAGAAATCTCATTTTGAAGATGA